GAAATTGTCATGGCTGATGGGTCAGGGTGACCTTTTATCTTGACTTTGTTCACCACCTTTTAAAATGCAGCAAAGGTTTCTACATTGATTCATGGAAGATACTGTAAGCCTAAAACACAAACCTCACCATCTGATATATGCAACATAAGAAAAGTCAAAGCTCAGAATGTTTTGGAATTCACCAAAACCATGGCAAAACTATATATGTTGGGTTTCTATGTGTTAATGTTTCTATCTCTCTTGTTCTAGGAAAGGCCCATAAACATAAGCACTTGCTTTTGTCACAGTGAAATCAATGAAAGGCGTATCTTTGGTTAATTATCTGCAACATTGGGCGCCATTGTCGTAAGGCTTCTACAGAAGAGGAGGATCTTCTGAAATGACTAGCTAATTCTGTTAAGTTTCCATTTCGAATAACATTTTTCTTTAGTGCAGAGATTTACATTTTTCTTAAAAATTGCATTTTGCCTTCGGTGCTGGAACCTACTTGGCTTTCCAGGGAAGGCAAACAGTGCGCTGTACATAGACTCACAGGGGTCAAATGTTAGCTCTTAGTGTGATATCATCTCCTGCACATTTTTATGTTATTGCAGTTCATAACACTGCGCCAGAAAATGGAAAACAGTAAAAGCCTCTTTATTTATAAGGTTATTACAGGTATCCTCCAGTGTATCTCATGTGTATACATCCTGTCAAAATATTTCAGGATTTTGACAACAGTGCTTGAATTTGTTTCAAGTGACATGACATGGCTTTTAACTGTATTTTTTTGCAGTTTTAGTATTTTTAAGAATAGCTAATAAAAGTGTTACTAAAAAAATAGATAATCCCTTGGTAAACAAAAAGGTTTAAAAAAGCATCAGTTGAGTTTTGCAGTTAAATAACCTGTACAGGAAATTATGTCTAGAAGTCTGTGGAAGGCATAACAGACCTAATTAATGCCCACACTGTTTCTCCAGAGAAACAGATTTTGTGGAATGTAAATACGCTGCATAGAAAAATTTCTTGTGCTTATTTTATAGTTTGCCCTTATTTTTTCCTTGTACAGCTGTAGTGTATGGTATTTTACAATGTGACGTGTATCTGTCTTCAGAATTGCAAGTTGTATTATCATTTCTGAAATGTGAACAACAATTATATTTTTCCAGGTTTTTTTAACTGCTGATGTCAATTATGATCCAAGGGGTGTTTTCATGTCCGAGGAGTGTGAATGTGTGTGTGCACGTGCACACATTCATGTTCTGAAATAGGTGGCTATTTCATTGTAGCATTCATTATGTGTGTATGTAAGTGTAGGTATTATCAGGATCATTCTTTTCAGCTTTTATTCTAAAAGCTGAACCAGAGGCTGAAAACACTGACACATCTGGAATTTCAGAGCACATCCAGGGACTGACAATTAATGGTACTCAACCAACCCTGCACCTCGTCACTGATGGATGATTAGAGTTTAGCTAATGAGAAGGTGTTCAGAGAAGAGTCAGGGATTTTCTATTCGCTTGTCGGTTTGGTTGGGGATCTCTGTGGGTTTAAACCCGAGTAGATACACACAAAGTGGTCCAGAAGAATCTGTGTAAATGGTCAGACTATTCTCTGCTGTCACTAGTTTTGTGTTTACATGTTAAGCTCTGCAGGTTAGGGATCGTTGCTTTATATGTTTATAAAGCCGTATTGCTATCTATGTTTCTAAAGTATCTAAAATAAAGTGGCCTTGCCTCCCAGTACCACTGAATGGCAAATGGTGATTAGCAGAAGGGAACCGTTTTGTTCTGTGCCTGGCAATGCTCACCCATACTAGCAGGTCAGCTTAATGGGTGCTGTTTGCTGAGACACTTCTGTTGGAGCCAGATTCTTCTTGCAGGTATCCAGTAAAAGGACAAGAAGCAATGGGCACAAACTGGAACATGGGAAACTCTGTCCAAATATAAGAAAAAGCCACAAGGGAGATTGAACATTGGACCAGGTTCTCTGGAGAGGTTGTTAGTCTCTATTCTTTGGAGATATTCAAACCCCGACTGGATATGGTCTTGGGTAGCCTCCTCTAGTTCACCCTTTTCTGAGCTGAGAGGTTGGACAAGACAATCTCTAGAGGTGCCTTGCAACCTCAGCAAGTCTGTGGTTCTGTGATTTGCTTGACTGGGACCTAACTGAATATGCCTGTGCTTCCTGAACAGAGCAGGCTGGGGAATACCACTGTTTGTCTGCAGGCAAAGGCATAGCTAGTGGTTTGTCAGTGTGCTTGGCGTGCTCAGCATCAGCAAAGGATGTGTGGAGACAGGCTGGTTCAGTTCTTCTGTGATTTTTCCGGATGCGTGAGTTTGAGTCTCACCTGGTCTGTTGCCCTGCCGCTTCTCTTGTGCTGAGAAGAGTGCACAGTGTCATTTAAACTGGTGATTCAGAGGCAGCCGGGTATGATGCTAAAAACCTCTCTCTGTGGTGTAGAAATTGTCATGGCTGATGGGTCAGGGTGACCTTTTATCTTGACTTTGTTCACCACCTTTTAAAATGCAGCAAAGGTTTCTACATTGATTCATGGAAGATACTGTAAGCCTAAAACACAAACCTCACCATCTGATATATGCAACATAAGAAAAGTCAAAGCTCAGAATGTTTTGGAATTCACCAAAACCATGGCAAAACTATATATGTTGGGTTTCTATGTGTTAATGTTTCTATCTCTCTTGTTCTAGGAAAGGCCCATAAACATAAGCACTTGCTTTTGTCACAGTGAAATCAATGAAAGGCGTATCTTTGGTTAATTATCTGCAACATTGGGCGCCATTGTCGTAAGGCTTCTACAGAAGAGGAGGATCTTCTGAAATGACTAGCTAATTCTGTTAAGTTTCCATTTCGAATAACATTTTTCTTTAGTGCAGAGATTTACATTTTTCTTAAAAATTGCATTTTGCCTTCGGTGCTGGAACCTACTTGGCTTTCCAGGGAAGGCAAACAGTGCGCTGTACATAGACTCACAGGGGTCAAATGTTAGCTCTTAGTGTGATATCATCTCCTGCACATTTTTATGTTATTGCAGTTCATAACACTGCGCCAGAAAATGGAAAACAGTAAAAGCCTCTTTATTTATAAGGTTATTACAGGTATCCTCCAGTGTATCTCATGTGTATACATCCTGTCAAAATATTTCAGGATTTTGACAACAGTGCTTGAATTTGTTTCAAGTGACATGACATGGCTTTTAACTGTATTTTTTTGCAGTTTTAGTATTTTTAAGAATAGCTAATAAAAGTGTTACTAAAAAAATAGATAATCCCTTGGTAAACAAAAAGGTTTAAAAAAGCATCAGTTGAGTTTTGCAGTTAAATAACCTGTACAGGAAATTATGTCTAGAAGTCTGTGGAAGGCATAACAGACCTAATTAATGCCCACACTGTTTCTCCAGAGAAACAGATTTTGTGGAATGTAAATATGCTGCATAGAAAAATTTCTTGTGCTTATTTTATAGTTTGCCCTTATTTTTTCCTTGTACAGCTGTAGTGTATGGTATTTTACAATGTGACGTGTATCTGTCTTCAGAATTGCAAGTTGTATTATCATTTCTGAAATGTGAACAACAATTATATTTTTCCAGGTTTTTTTAACTGCTGATGTCAATTATGATCCAAGGGGTGTTTTCATGTCCGAGGAGTGTGAATGTGTGTGTGCACGTGCACACATTCATGTTCTGAAATAGGTGGCTATTTCATTGTAGCATTCATTATGTGTGTATGTAAGTGTAGGTATTATCAGGATCATTCTTTTCAGCTTTTATTCTAAAAGCTGAACCAGAGGCTGAAAACACTGACACATCTGGAATTTCAGAGCACATCCAGGGACTGACAATTAATGGTACTCAACCAACCCTGCACCTCGTCACTGATGGATGATTAGAGTTTAGCTAATGAGAAGGTGTTCAGAGAAGAGTCAGGGATTTTCTATTCGCTTGTCGGTTTGGTTGGGGATCTCTGTGGGTTTAAACCCGAGTAGATACACACAAAGTGGTCCAGAAGAATCTGTGTAAATGGTCAGACTATTCTCTGCTGTCACTAGTTTTGTGTTTACATGTTAAGCTCTGCAGGTTAGGGATCGTTGCTTTATATGTTTATAAAGCCGTATTGCTATCTATGTTTCTAAAGTATCTAAAATAAAGTGGCCTTGCCTCCCAGTACCGCTGAATGGCAAATGGTGATTAGCAGAAGGGAACCGTTTTGTTCTGTGCCTGGCAATGCTCACCCATACTAGCAGGTCAGCTTAATGGGTGCTGTTTGCTGAGACACTTCTGTTGGAGCCAGATTCTTCTTGCAGGTATCCAGTAAAAGGACAAGAAGCAATGGGCACAAACTGGAACATGGGAAACTCTGTCCAAATATAAGAAAAAGCCACAAGGGAGATTGAACATTGGACCAGGTTCTCTGGAGAGGTTGTGTAGTCTCTATCTTTGGAGATATTCAAACCTCGACTGGATATGGTCTTGGGTAGCCTCCTCTAGTTCACCCTTTTCTGAGCTGAGAGGTTGGACAAGACAATCTCTAGAGGTGCCTTGCAACCTCAGCAAGTCTGTGGTTCTGTGATTTGCTTGACTGGGACCTAACTGAATATGCCTGTGCTTCCTGAACAGAGCAGGCTGGGGAATACCACTGTTTGTCTGCAGGCAAAGGCATAGCTAGTGGTTTGTCAGTGTGCTTGGCGTGCTCAGCATCAGCACCCTGGAAGGCACACTTGGGGCTGGACTTGCAGGCTTACTTCTGAACAGCCTTCGGGTCTGGTCTAAGGGCTGCCATTAGGAAAACTAGGCGTAACTAGTGTTATTGAGTCCTCTTTTTCCTGAATTGCAGTGGTGGTATCATGACACAGGATTAAGCAGCCAATTAATATCCTGAATTCTTGTAGTTCTTTTACAGTGAAGTTGCAGGAAGGATCTGATAACAATAAGTCCAAAGAGCTTGTTAATTCCATATGCTCCTCTGCCAGGATGTTGCTGATAACCAACTTATATTTCTTAGGTGTGCAGTGCAATCCAGAATCAAGATTTCACTGTTATTGATGACTACTGCACTGGACTGCGAGCTCTTCTTTACTTGAAAAGCATTGAGGAACTTGGAGACTGGAATGGACAGAGTCCTGCAACCATGCGCCATCAGAAAGGAAAACCAGTACCTAGAATTGCTGATTTGATGGGACAGGTATGTTTTTTCATTGCCATTCCTATATAATGACACTATGTCTCGGCTTTGAATGCAATTCCATAATCATTGTATGCAGTTTCTGCTACTTACCTTGGTTAACCACTGCTGCTGTCACAATTAGTCACCAAGTCTTTTTCCTTCTGTGTATTAACAAATATCTGAAGGCAGCTTAAGAAGACAAAGTTGAAATGACTTGATATGGGATAACATTTTTACTATAAGTATGATCTCTCAACTTGATTCATAACATCATGCCTTTAAAAAAAGTGTAGGATGTAAAATTACAAATACATCGGAACAAGCTCTGGAACTGCTTGTTTTAATGAAACTCAACTCGATTCAGATTGATATTAATATTGAGCCAAAAGTTTCTGAGTGTTCCAGCCAGGGTGCAAAATTCAGGAAACATGAAAATACCCTAGCACTGGGCATAAGCAGCTGAGACAGCTTGTCACAAACCAGCTGTTAGTGGAACGCTAGATCAGGTAGGAATTGCCCTTCAATCATTTTACCTGAGCATCTCATGCTCTTTCATGTATGCTGACTCCCAAATCCTCTGCAAGGCAGGGAAGTTCCAGGAGAGGAAGAGTGACACCAAATAATTTAATAGATTCTGCAAGATCATTTAAATCTAGAAAGTGTGCGGTGGGATAGGAATGTAAACTGGTCTCTCTGAAATCCTAACCTCTGGACTGTCTTTCCTCTCTGCTCGAGTAGTTCTCTGGTACAAAAGCATCTTTGGAGATTTTTGCCAGATGCAATGGGTTTGCAGCCTCCTGCTCACCCCTCCACCAGGGCCCTGGCTGATTCGTGCTGAGAAGCAGGGAGGTGTAACTGGCTTCCTACTGATGCCCCGCTGCCTACTGCTCTAAGCAAAATACCTGCACAGCAGGGAGGCTGAGCTTTTGTTTCTGGTTACTAGAGGGGATCACTTTGAAGACTGATTTCAGTTATACATCATGCCTATTGATTATCCTTCCAAAAATCTGATATAACACTGTTGAAAATGTTGTAAAAAGTAAAGAATTACAAAAGAATAGGATTTGGAGTGTCAAACGCCTCCAAATCTCTGCTTATCGTTGCTGATGACTGGAGTTGGATTTAGCAAGAGATTAGAGACTCCTATATTGTTGTTGTTCTCTGTGGAGCTCTGAAAATTATAACATTACCTTCCAGGAGAAAAGACAATCCTATTCCTAAAGCTCTGGATAATACGCTGCTTAAAAATAAAACAAGATATAAGCAGTTTCATTTTCATCTACTTATGTTAAGCAGTTAAGCCAGGCTCAAAGGGTTATATCTAAACTTCCCTCCTTTAACACCTGTAGAAACATACACAGCATTTCCAACTCATGTAACAGAGATTTGTTGTAATTCTTTTTTAAAGCTACATTCAGTGTTCTGTCTTTCTGTTACCTTTGTACTCTACTAAACAGACAACCATTGTCAAAGATATTTCTCACGTCCTTTTGAATGAGAAAAAAAAATTATAATTCTTAGTCTTTTCTGCTTGTCACTACATCAATAATTAACTTTAAAAAGGTAGCGTGAAAAGATGCTTTAAGGAAGCATTTAATAATTCAAAGGAATCTTAACTTGAAACAGGTCACATGAAAAAGAATAAAAACCAAAGCCCTATGTAATCTTCTCTGGCTAGCTCTGTTAGACATTTAAAAGGAACAAGGCATACAGAATATAACTGATTGTGTATTTGATTGCCCTTAGCACTGAATTATATCATTGGATCATTGCTACAAAATAATAACATATAAAGTTAACCAGGCTGCATCATTGGTAAGGTAGTGATGTATTTTAGGCATAAGCTCAGGATGGCTGTTAGTCCAGGAATGAACATTCAAGGGAAAAGGAAGAAAAATAATACAACACGGGTAAAAGGAAATACCATGATAAATGATCCTACTAGGGGCAATCAAATACAAAGGCTTGATATCATTAATATTTATAATATCATAATTAGCAAGACTGTGCCTAAGCAGTGTTATTAGTGTAACTAATTATGTTATCATAAACTAAGTTTGCAGTATTATAGGAATCAGTATTCTTACCTTCATAAATTATTATCAATATTGGATTTCATGTACTTGTGCCTAGTAAATTTAGTTAAGTGCTGTAGTTTCATCTACATTCAAACACAAATATCTGGCTTGCTTGGCAGCAAGTCATAACACACGCTTCTGATTCTTTTTCTAAAATAAATTTACTAAAAAGCCTGTCCTTGCTCTCTATTTGGAAAAGAGAAGATCGCCTGTTCATGTGATGCATATGTTCTCATCGATAAATGTAATGTGTAGGAATATATATGTTATAAGTGGAGTAAAATGTGAAAGCCAAAATCCTGCATTACAATTTTAAAAACTCTTAAGGAGCTCTCCAAGTTTGTTTTGGTATTACTGTGAGATGAAATGCCATTTCTTCAGTTAGACCCCATGAGAAGCTAAACAGCAAATACTGATGAACTTTTGCGTTCAAAAAGAAAAAGTGAAGATGCCTATTTTGATATGTTATATTTTTGGTGCAGTAAATGTAAAAATATAAAGGAATCATCCATTTTGTTGCAAAATTCCTATTAATTTTCATATAGAATCACAGGGCTAAAAAGTTCAGGCAATTGACAATTTCATGAGAAGGAACTGAGGGACAAGAATCATTTTCGACAGCATCAAGAACCACTTGCCTTCTGGTTGTATACAAATTTATTGGGCCTCTCCCAGTTTTGAATATATTACGGAGTTAGGACCGGTCCTATTCCCAGCTAAGTATGTTCATAACAGTATCTATTTTGATTCGCAGTGCAATATTGAATGTTAATGTCCATATTTTTATATAGCAGTGCACTTTTCTTTTGATAATTCATTTTCTGTCCTGGTTTCAGCATCAAACAGATGCTGAGTGCAGAGTGTTGCCATAGGAGAGTGACACAGTAGAGTTTTGTCATGAAATATTGTAGCATTTGATGATCAGAGTAAACGAAAAGATAAATACTTTCTTCTAAATGGTACACCTGACATCAAACTGAAGCTGTCTTGCCATGCAGTCACCAGATAAATGACAAACTGAACCGTTATCACTGTCAGTTGTTACATTTATCACAATAATTTCCTACCTAAATAGAAAGAATACTAAAACTATGGTGCTAAATAGCATAAAATAATAAGCAGTTTAATAGCAAATGTATCAACTTTTGGCTGAAAAAGAAAATCATGTTGATTAGTACCTGTTCATGCTTCTCCATTAACGAAACTAATACTTTCATATGAGAACCATCATAGCACTGGAAAATATTTTGGAAACTTGAGTGCTGTTTTTATGTTTTTCACTGTTGCAGAATGTATTTTTTGGTATATAGACCCTAAATTGATCGTCTTTGAGCCAGCTAGTAGATACTTGCTGATAGCCTTTTCAGTAGTGCTAGCTTTTTCCCTTTTGCTAACACAGCAGTTGATGCTGGAGTCAATTCTTGCCATTGTCCAAGATGTGACCTGTGGTACTACACTGCATGTAATAGCAATGAGGTTCCTGCTTAGAAATGCTAACCTCAGTTGTGGCTTCCAGTCACAGGGTGATACTGTTTTCCATAGCTCCACTGATTTTATTCATTCTTTCCTGTGGTTGTAACCTTATCCGTAACTGCTCCAAAAACAGTCCTAGCACAGATGCTGCGTCAGACTCACAAGGGTGGACAAAGCCAGTCTTCTGGGCTTCCTTCCTCATTGCTTTTCTGATGGCTTATTTAGTTGTGGCGATTTTTTCTGTGGGAGGACCTGACATTTGAAGCCTTGACACAGAGGACTGTCATTAATATCACCTCTGAATCACCTTTCCATTAAATGCATGGAATAAAACTTGTCAGCTTGTCTCAGCTATAGTCTCAGCTTGCAAATCTCGACACTGAGATGAGAGAATGGCAAGGTAATGATGACACCACACTGCTTCTCACTGACTCCCTTGAGGAAGAACTTTTGTAAAAGCGCACTTACCTCAGCATGAATTTAGGACTGAGATCAAGTGCATGATGCAATCAGGCAGACAGTTAAGATGTAGAGCATGCACTTACAAACCAAAGTTATTAGGGTGGCTGCATAAGAGAGAGGGAGAGCACAGGTGGTATCCTTATAATCCAAAATTAACAGAATTATGTTTTAAAATAATGTTCCTGAGTTTCTCAGGCAGATACATGACCAGGAGCAATAAAGATAACTGTTCTCACTAGGTATCTGGATAAGGTACAATACTCCCCAGAGGTGCAATTTATCTCCTGTGTGTAGTCACTGTCTCACCTTGTCTGTTTATTACAGGACTCTTTTATTAGTTGCTCACTGATCTTACTCCAGAGAGTTGAGGTGATTATGTCCCCAAAATGCACTGGTGTAAGCTGATGGTCAGAGAAGTGGTATAGTGTTCTTCTGTATAAACTTCCACCTAATGTCAGCTATAAAAATCATACTTAACACAGTGGCCTCTGTACATGCCAGGTAACTAAACATGAAAAACATGGCAGTGTATTCAGTTGGTAAGTGTGGGTTTATAGGAAGAGATAAACATATATGGATGTTTCATACCTTGCTTTCAGCACCAGAAGTTTTGCAAAAACTGGCGCTTGTTTGATCATGTCTAAAGGTTAAAAAATTAAAAAGAAGAAAAAGTAATAGTTTAAGCATCTTGATTCCAGAAATATCCAAAACCCAAAACAAACTGGTTTTCTTAGCGGATCCTCCTCAACTGTTAAGGTTGTCCTGTATTGAAAATGTTAAAAACATACCTGATAAAAACACATATATGGAAGGTGGTTTTCTCCAGCAGACAGGTGAGAGATAATGATCCTGAACATGCACAGTGTATGAACTTCTGTGAAAATTCTTATAACCTTAAATTTAGCAAGCTGCTGATTTTGTTCTCTGAATGCATGGAACTCCAATTTAGACTAAAATACACACTTCCTTCAAGTATCTGTGGGCACTAAAAACTGCGTCTTCTGT